CCGTATAGACTACTGCAACGCTCTCTACATGGGGTTGCCTTTGAAGACAGTTTGGAAGCTGCAAATGGTCTAACGGGCAGCAGCCAGGTTGCTAACAGGAGCGGCGCCCAGGAAGCATACAACTCCTCTGTTGTGCCAGCTCCACTGGCTACCTATTTGCTACCGAGCACAATTCAAACATCTGGCGTTAGCCTATAAAGCCCTAAACCCATGATGGCGAACCTATGGCACGCGTGTCAGCACTGACACGCTTGGCCATTTTCTATGACACGCGGCCACANCCATGCTTAGCTTTATTTACTAATCTGTCACTGTTTGAAGCCAATGCAACAACTAGCTTAAGGTGGGTTTCTTTGCCTTCCCTTAGTATACACTGAGGACACAAAATGGACAGTGAAGCTGAAATGAAATGGTATACAGGCAATCTCTGAGTTACAAACATCCAACTTACAGATGACTCAAAATTAAGAACAGAGGTGAGACAACAGGAAATGAGAGAAATCTACCTCTTGGAAGGAAAATGCACTCCTGAAAATGCACATCAGGGAGAAAATGTGTCTCCACTGAAGTTTTCTCACCAATTCTTGTTTCCACAAGTCATGTTTTTCAAAATCCAATTATCACAGGGACAGAAAGGGAGAGGAAATCTTCTGAACAGGTTCACAGACAGGAAAACAAACACTACAGGAGTCTTAACCCTTTCCTATGCTATATACGTACGTATGTATGTATGTATGTATGTATGTATATGGCAGGAGTGACACTTAAAAAATATAGCTGTCCCGACTTGTAAACCAATTCAGCTTAACAAATCTACATCATGTTCGTAACTTGGTGACTGCCTGTATTTTTAAAAACATGACCCCTTTTTCAAAAAATAATTACATAGAACATCCTTTGGATCACTGGGAGTGAAAATGTGCTGACCTACCAGTTCTGTGCCTTTAGTTTGACTCTCCCTTCACTTTCTTGTGTGGTAGTAACTCTTCTGGAAGATCTAATGAAATTTCTGCAGGAATTGACTGATTTATGACTTGACATGGGGGTGATGACCTCATTACTGATTGGAATGCAAAAAGAATGAGACTGTGTGTTTATATAAGCCAAAAGAAATAGAAATAGCCCCTATTGCTAAGAATTACCATCTAAGTATTTTACGTTAGGTTGTGTGTGGTGGCAGAAACAGCAACAATTTGTTTCCTTCTTTGAAACAGGGCTGCAAGCACCAATAATGCCATATTGTCAGTAACTATGTGGGATAGATTCTGATCATGTTGGGAATAATGGAAATTGAGGAATGTTCGTTGCTGCTGCTTAAAGAAAGGCATGAGACATTGCTAAAAAAAACCCAAACTCCTTTGTGATTGTAACCCTCCTTTTTTTTCCAAAGGAAGCTTTTACAGACTAAAATAAAATGATGTTCTAAACCAATTGATCTGTTGAAGTGCTGAGCTTTGTTCAAAAGAAGGGGCAACCTAGACTTTTTTATTTTGGACTGTAGTTATTTTTTAAATGATAGCACCTACTTCTGACCTTGCTCATCTTTCTCACCCCAATTTGATTTCTTTTGTGTTATTGCTCTGAATCGGAGGTTTTGTCTTGGAAGTTTCAGTGTGGAAAGGCCATAACAGTACTTGAACACATGCTTTGTAGGCAGAGGGTCGTAGGTTCAATCCCTGGCATCTTGTTAATAGCTTTCCAAAGTCTTGAGATCCTCTATGAATCAGGGTGGACAAAGACTGGGTTGGAGGAAGTGATAAGGGAGATTCATAGCTCCAGCATTTGAAATCTAATTCCTTCTGTGTCCAGACACGGCTGCACTCCAGCTCAAAGAACAAACAGAAGACTTGAAAGAGGCAGGAAGAGCTGCTGGGTTTAAATTACACACAATCTGCAGTCCTTAAGCATTCCTTTAGACTAAAAAAACCCCCTCTAATTCCTGCTGCCTCACAATACTGAGGCTGCCTCTTCTAGACTTTGGAAGAGGAATCAATCCCCTGTAAACATGACCGATCAATATATTAGGGGAGGAATGATGGAAGTTAATTGTCTAACTTAACTGGAAGGTCTTGCCTCTGGGAGAGATTGCTGTTTGGGTAGGTAATGTTCCTAAGCTCTGTTGTCTTTTCCCTGTGAACTGGGTGCCCTGAATGCAGACTAACTGGTGGCTATTTTGTTGCTACTGCTTGCTGCAAACAGGACTTTCAGTTTTGTTGCTTTTGCCTTTATTGTGGTGTAAACAACATGTTCACAAATAGTTATACAGTTACTGCCAGATATATGAGTGTCTAACTAGGTAGTATCATCTTTTATCTGATGCAACAATTTGCTAGTTGAGAGTGCAAAAGCAATTTAGAGAGGTGTGAATAGAAGATGTTCTTGTATTCTACTAGATCTCCAAGAACTGTTGCTTTCTCCTATGAGTATCTGTCCCTTCCAAAAAGAGTAGTAACAGCAACAACCGTAATTACCACCACCACTGTCATCATCCATCTGAGATTTGCACCTAGAGGTTCCACACTTGTTATAGGTCATAAAACTTCTGCCAGAAATCCTATAACTGGAGCTAATTAACAATTAGGATCTGTTGCCTGTTGCCTCAAATGTCATTGTACTCCAATGGTTCAAGGTTTATTTATTCCTCTGTTTAGATACTTCTGTTAATGTTTATAGATTTATTGAGCAGCTAGGTGTGTTTGAAGGCTGTTAGGTCTGGATGTTATATTCTCTTCTTTGTTGGGAGAAGAACTTGCATTTTGTTGTTGTTGTGTACCTTCAAACTCACAGGTTTTCTGGGGTTCGGAGTGTGACACTCATCTAAGGTTACCTAGTGGGTTTCCATAGCAAAGCATGGAATTGGACCCTGGTCTCCAGAGTTTTCTGAGATCCTTGAAGGATTTCCTCCCCTTTTGGCTTTACCAATGGATCTGTTGAAGTCCCGAGCTCTTCTCAAAAGAAGGGGTGACCTAGGCTTTCAGTGCAGTTTCTCCCAAACATCGTTGATCCACTCATAGAGCTGTATCTATTACTGTGAGGCTATGAGGGCAGCATTATGTTGGACTGATTATTAGAGTGCAGATGGCAAAGTCTTGCTGGGAATGTTGACTAAAAAGTGAGAATTCAAGTCTGGACCTGCATGGAAGGAACCTTATCTTGCAGGGTAGTTTTCAAAGAAGAAATTGTTTTAGTCTTTTGCAGCATAAAAAGGAGGAAGGAGGGGGGATGAAAAGGAAACTTGACAGCACTTTTAAGACCAACTATTTTTTATTTTTTTTTGCCTGAGCTTTTGTGAGACAAAATGTGATAGGATAAGGATGCTAATCATGACCCTTGGATAGGAGGAGAGTTTTGGGGTTCATGTGCTGAGGCTGTGCTGTTCCAGGTCAGTCATGAAGTTGTTTTCATACTGTGGTGCATTCAGGTGCCATTGACTTGAAGACAGATAATATTCCCAAAAGCAACGTACTTATAAGTAAATATAAAAGGAAGTGCCGAGGCTAGGTCCATTGTAGCCTCCTTTAGGCTGGTGTTCTTGATGGCTTATAGTCCTTCCTTGTGTGTGATGTTGGTTTATAGGGTTCACATCCATAGTGGCTGGGAGGATGGTCTCTAGGAAGCTGGTTTTTGGAAAGCAGATTTATTGCTTTCACATATCAACACTAATGACCATTGTAGAAAGTTGAAAGACCTGTATCACCTTATGTAGCCCTTTGAACTTTTAAGGCAAGGTTCATGATTTCTGTCTTTCTGGACCCGGTTACATTCTATCTCACTTCCACAACTGTATAAATATGCTGTATAGCTTAGGTCTTAATGCCACTTAATGTACTGCATCCAAAGAAGTGAGGCCATGTCAACAAAAGTTCATGCAAAAATAAAAAACTCAAGTAGAATTTAAAGCTCCTGATGCATTTCTCTTTTCTCCCCTCTACTCACATCTTTTTACTTGAAAAATCTCAAGACAAGATTGAGATTCTTTTGGCATGCATAAAGTTTCTAAACCGCTGAGCTGCTGAATCTGCTGACCTAAAGGCTCTTTGACTTAGAAATGAAGATGAGCCGGCCCMCCCCCCCCCCCATGGGGTGTTGTCATGACAGAAATATATCAATTCAGGCCCTCAAACATGCTCTAGAAATCTATTTGTTTATTTTTATTTAACCTGGATGGGTGTTGAGTGCTGCTATTCTCGAGCAGYTTTAAGATAGCTGAAAGTACTGTATGGTTTCACAACCCCTTTTCATAGGCTGCTTAACAGTAGAAGCTAGGTTTTAATCCAGAGCTTGACATTACTACAAACTAGGATAGAGTAGCTTTAGAATAATTAATACCGAGTGTAAGTGTATGCATTATTGTGTAGTATCTTTTTCTCTTGATGCAAGATAAACTTCACCTTGTTCATAAGTTGTTAGAATAACTTGATAGACTGGCCATTCTTCCAGAGCTCCCTGGCCATTCCCTCCTGGATGGAGGCAGAATTGCTTATCCCATAGACCTTCCTGCATGTCCTCAAGTAGTCACCTGAGGCAGCAGACTACTTTAGGACATGATCTCATCATCATTGCTTAAGTAAAATCCAGCTCCCACTTCTGTATGACGAATGAGTGGCACCAACTTGCTTGTTGCCTTAGTTCCCGTCCCAGAAGAAAGACAGGGTATAGATTGAATAAAATAAATACATTTGCAAGACTGAGCAGTCCTTTATTTGAGGGATAGTTTTATATTTTCTCCTTTTCCCTTTTTATTAAATATGAGGGTGGTACAGTAGCATTTCCTAGTTAGTGTTGCTAAAACCTCTGGAAGTTGGAGAATCTCCAGAACAGCTTTATTTTTTTAAGTCTGTTTCTTGTGCTTTTCTTGATTATTGATAATTTTCTTCTCTTCTTTTGCTGGTCAGAAAGGTCAAAACATTACCTATTTCTGTGAGATGTTCTAGGTATGTTGAATACTCAACATATGTGATACTCAAAGACTTATGAATGTTTTTGCTCTTCCTCCCCAGGTTTTGGTGCCAAGCATTTAAAGAGAAAATGAGAAGGTTTTTGAGGTCTGGGCATGATCCCATAAGAGAGAGGCTCAAGCGTGACCTTTTCCAGTTTAACAAGGTATGTAGTGGGTCTCCAATGTGCATAAGATGAAATGAGCCCAAAACTCTGAAAGAGTTTCAAGCATGTTGAAGAGGTGGAATATCTTCAGCCACAGGATAAGAGGAAATTATATTTAACAAGGACAGTCTTATTCTGTTGTTGGATTAGCAAAGAGTATGGAACCAAACAAATATGTGTAAAGTGAATATATTGGGTTTTCTCAGTCCCTGATACAACGTGCCTTTTATGTATGCACGTCTCTTAAGCCAGCACACTATTTCCTGACTTCAGATAGGCATTCAGATCCCATTACTTTTATTTATTTTGTTTTTATGTCAGGGAGACCTTTATCTCTTATTTAGCTTTTGCTTTGTGGAGGCCCTGTGGAGCAGTGTGTTCTTGTTCAATTGCAGCGCGGCCTATAAACAAACATGTAAGGGCTAATGTGTATCTCTCAAGCTTAACACACATTTTCCTATGCTCTAATGTGAGTAGTGAAAGTGTTTGAAATACGTTTCCAACAGTGTAAATAGCACCTGTGTGCTGCTCATTATCGCAGCAAAAGCTGACAAGGTGTCATGTTGTGTTTTTTCTTTTGCAATAGTATACTGTAAACTGATGAGAAATTGCTAAACCAGAGTGACTGCAAGTGGACCTCTGTTCACTGAAGATCTGTTTTTGTGTATCTGAAGAACGTCTGCTTTTAAGCCCACATGACAGATGGTAGTATTGAGTGTTTGAAGCAATGAAACATAGGCTACTCGTATGGTGCACAACATGACTTGTAAACAGTTAACTGTTTTGGCAGAGATTACACTTGCTGAGTGTTGGCAATACATGAATGGGAATAAATATTCTATGAGATAATAGGCAATGGTGATTAGAACAGGGCAAGAAAGGTTTTAATTGCCATATTCAGTAGCAGCCAGTCCTGCTTTGAATATTAAGGATACTTTTAGGCTATTTTTAAATAAAAGAACAATATATGAGTGCATTTGTGTCTAAGATCACATTGATAGTTAGACATTCAGGTTGTTATTTTTCTCCCACAGATTTTGCATTGCCATTGATGGCTATTGTGAACACCCAGTCTCTTCTGGAGAAAGACAAAACATCTTTGGCCCCATCTACACTGCCATTATAATGCAGATTGAACTGCATTATAGGATGTGTACACGCATATAATGCAGTTTAACTGTATTGAACTGAATTATATGACCACTATAGATGGGACTTTTAACAGTTCCAGAGTTGCAGCATTCTTGTTTGATCTCAGTTTTCTTTCCTAGGAGACAAATAGCTTTAGGCAATTCTGCAGTTTAGCCCTCCTTAATATGGGTTGTTTGTTCTCATTCTCAAAGAACTGCTATGGAATCCCTGATGAGCCCACTTAGGTTGCTCACCAACGAAGTCTAGGCTTTGCATGAATGCTGGAATCTCAAAATCAGACAAGACAAGGCAGTGTTGACATCTTAATCTCATGTCATACCACCTGTCTGCTTTTCACACTTCAGTTTCGTTTATTCTGGTATGAAACATGAGTGTAGAAAAAACTCTTCAGGTTGGGACTCACACAACTTTCCAGATGGAGTTTGACTGTACACTCCATCAGCCACAGTCAAAATAGTCGATATTAATGAATACTGGGAGTTGCAACCCAGCAAAATCTGGAGACATACTTCAAATGAAAACTTGTTAATTTAGAACATTTTCCCATGTTCTATTTGTGCCCCTGTTCTCAGTTTATCTGGAATTCTTGTTGTTGCATGCACTCAAGTCGACTTATGGTGTCCCCCTTTTTTATTGGCAAGATTCATTCAGATGAGGTTTTTCTTTACTTATCTCTGAGGCTGAAAGAGTATGACTTGCCTAAAGCCACCCAGTGGTGAAGCAAGGATAATAATAATAATAATAATAATAATAATAATAATATCAATAATAATTCTTTATTTATATTCCACTTTTCTCCCAAATGAGACTCAAAGTGACTCACAGCATAATGCAATACAAATCAAAGCACATTTAACATAAAATACAAGATAAATTGTATTTGGCCCCCCTGGTGGTGAAGTGGGTTAAACCGCTGAGGTGCTGAACTTGCTGATGAAAGATTAGTGGTTTGGACCCGGGAAGTGGTGTGAGCTCCTGCTGTTAGCCCCAGCTTCTGCCAACCTAGCAGTTTAAAAACATGCAAATGTGAGTAGATTAATAGGTACCACCTTGGCGGGAAGGTAATGGCGCTCCATGCAGTCATGCTGGCCATATGACCTTGGAGGCATCTACAAACAAGGCCAGCTCGTTGGATCAGAATTGGAGATGAGCACCACCCCGCAGTTTGACACGACTAGACTTAATGTCAAGGGGAAACCTTTACCTATAAGTAAAAAATCACACAAAGCATAATAACATTCAAAAATAAGATATAAATAAATACTAAGCATTGAAAATATTGAAAACCAATTACAATTCTTGAACCCTAATTTCCATAGTTGTAGTCCAGCACTTTGATGACCACACCATACTGGCTCATTTGTCCAATATAGAATCAACTTAAGGATATTTTACATATTATTCCATTTAAAAAGTTATTTGGGTGTAGGATTTGCCTTGTTTTTCTTAAAAGTGGCTAGTCAGGATTCTTGCTGCATGTGCACAACAGAAAATCTCCTACTTCTGCAAGGTAGTCCTACTTTAATGCACATATTTTTAAAATGAGAGGGATCTATTTGTAAGGCCGGCGTCATTAACTTTAAATAGACATTCTGCAAGGTGTTTTCCAAGGTAAGGTTGCATGCTTTGTAGTGCTAGAATGTCTTACGTAGTTAACCATTTACTCAGCTTGATATCTCTTCAGAATAGGTATTAGCTCACTTGTTCTGAATTAACTATGTTCCTTATGGCTAGGCACTCTTCTTAGATAAGTGGAATGTTTGCTTTTCCATGATGAAGGATCCTTTTATGAGGAATAAAACACAGTCATATTAATTGACAATTCCTGTGGAAAATTCCCAAACCTGATATTTAAGGCCTATGCCATTTTGTGTTCAGACGTCCAATGCCCATCATTCAATATGATAGAAAATCCCAGTGATGACAAAGTAGACGGAAGATGAGCAACCCTACTGTTTGGATGTAGACACATATACTGTTTTCTCAAGAAATTTAATTAAACTTTTTGAATGATAAGAAATTGTTCCTCAATGTGAATGTGAGTGCCTGTGCCTTGGAAACACTGGTTTCTATGTCCTCCCCATCTGTATCATGATAGGGCAAAACTGGTCCATGTATGTTGCTGAAATGTTTCTTCTGCCAAGTATGATTAGCTAACTTACCCAATGGTGTATGTGATGCTAAGAGTTGAAGTCCAAGAACACCTGAAGGCCTAAAAAATTATGTTTCTGTTGTAAAGACAGAACTGCAAATCCTTGTTTTAATAGCTTGCTAACAAGGGATTCTGAAAAACTAAAACGTAATCAACACCAGCAGATATTGTATCAAGAGAAGCCAAGAACAAATATCTTTTATTGTTGATAAACTGTGCCCCTTTTGCTCATAGGACAAAACTGAGTTGGGGAGGTCTAAGCAATTTGTCCTTCTCTACAGCTGTGATATCTATGATGATACTGTGATTCAGCAAGAATATGTGTCAGTACAATTACCTGTTCTTTGATGAAAATTAATGCAGTTGGAGTCATTTTAGGTCCAAGTGCCACCTCTGAGGCAAATAAGGCAAGTTTTTGTGGACCATAGCAGTCTTTGTCTCTGATGAAGGCTGGCCGTAAAATGATGCACTGGAGTTAGCGGAAAGTCCCCTTCATATCATCCAAAGAAAGCCTCATCAGTTAGAATTTCATTGGCCCGATCATCCTAGCCAATGATCAGGGATTCTGGGATCTGAAACCCAAAATACCTGGAAGACCAGAATTTGGGAAACACCGAGTTACATCATCAGAATAGCAAATTACACAGTGTGAAGTCCCTGGAGTGATGGAGGATTTGTATGAAGCAAAACTGTCTGAATTCCCCAAACAACAATTCAAACCTGAGTGCTCTGCCCAGTATACAGGTATGAAGAAAAAAAACACATTAATAACCAGAAGGAGCATTTCCACCTTCTTTTCCTTGCTTTTCTAATCATGGATATTTTGTGGCACTTTTCTTACACCTGGTTTACGTAGGTAGCAGTAAATCTTAATTCACTTTAGAAAATACCAAACAGAATACACACATGTATGCACCTATGATTCTAAGACACACCCCATTTTTAGATATTTTATATGGGGGTGGGGAGGGGAAGTATGTCTTAGAATTGAAGAAATACAGTATATTCCTTACTAATACAAATATGATGAGGTTGGCCATTTGCTTTTCTTTTTTTTTTTTGAGAAGCCTTTGTATAGATTGTTCTGCCTTTTTAAAAATTCGTATTTTCCTCCAAAGCTTGTTTAGTGTAATTCTCATATTTCCCAGTGATAGAAACCTGCTGCCTAAAACTGGCAGAATGGTCTACCCACACCTTCTTTAGACTTAAGAGACACTGTGTGCCATCTAATCCAATCCACCCACTTAGCTTATAGACAGTTTATGGCATCCCTGAGTCAGCTCATGAGCTTAATGACTCACTATGTTGATAGTAATGTTGACAACACAACATCTGCTTGACAGCACAAGTCAGTGCCCTATAGTTGCTTTGGACTTTAACTCTGCTCTGCTCTGATTGTTCCCTGTGTTGATCAGAACAATTCGTAGTTACAGCCCAAAACATCTGGAAGGTATTGGATTGGGAAAGGCTAACACAATTCATGAGACCGCAGTGTTCTTGTTCATTTCTGTAATTAATTTGGTGGATTGCTTCAAAAGCTATGTAAAGTTTCAACTGGGAAGGAAGCTAGGAATTCCCCATCGTGGTGCACTTGAAAGGTATCTTTTCAACTGAGCAGGCAATGAAGCATGTTAATATTCTTAATTTTGGTTGGGGGCTCTCCCCTCCCCTGTGGGCTACTTGTACACGCAGTGGA